TATATATGTATATGGAATATTATTCAGCCATAAAAAGGGAGGAAATCTTGCCATTTGCAAAAACATGGATGGATCTTGAGGGCATTATGCTAAGTGAAAGAAGTCAGACAGAGAAAGACAGATATCATATGATCTCTTTGATATGTGGAATATATTTTTTATATATATTTATATATAATATATTATATATTATACTTCTTTATATTTATATATGTAATAAAGAACTTTTTAAATGTAAGATAAGAATATTGTTATAGTTAATAGATACTCCTTGTCTAATTTATTCAATTATTTATTTAGTTCCATCTTTATTCCGGAGAGGATATAAGATAGTTTATTTGACATTCACCCAATATATAATCCTAATGGTCTCCAGAGGTTTTGCCAGACTATACGCAAAAAATGAACACACAAAACAGCACAAGCATGCTATAAAATGTGCAAAAAAGAAAAGCAGGGTAAGTCCATGTCATTCCAGTTGAGAAAGCTCTGGTTGATGATACTTAGAATGCTTTATAAGTTTTCATCATAGAATTTGCAAAAATTTCCCTAAAATTCACCATTTCTTTGTTGTATTTCCAGCCAAGAGAGAGCTCCCCACATAACTATAGACCTCCTAAACACCAAAATGAGGTGTCAGCTTCTAACTGACCCAAAGGCAAAATCCAACTTCTGGATTGCCTTGTTTTTCTTGGATATTAACCACTGCAGCAATAGACAAGTGACTGAGATTGGGATATCTAAAGGATCATAGCTGAAGGAATGTAGAGATACAAAACAACAGAGCAAGTCAAAGCTAATTTCAAAAAATTGCAATTCAATCACACATTTCCTAAAAGTGACAGTCGAGTTTTTAATTGTCACAAATAAAACTAGGATGGATGTAAGTCCCTAAATTAGTGGTTTACTCTCGTTTGGTCCAAACAGTTGTCTTCGATAGTTGAGAGAGGATTCATAGTTCTATTGCTTAGAAGGGATTAATTTAATGCTCAAAAAGTAACTAAATATAAACATATAACTTCTGACTCCATCATAAACAAAGGAAATGTGTATCATTAAAAAAAAAATGAACTGGTCTAGTGCCTATTGACTAAAATAACAATGTCCTATCCTTGGGCACCATCAGAATTTTAAAGCCCTTAGCTCTGAAACGATGATGATGCCCATCCCCACCATGTAACAAAGAATAAAAACAAAATATTAAATCACAAGTAGTATAAGGAGGTGCAATAAAGACTATTTCATTGCTCTTTAAAATAACAAAAACACTGCAAAAATGTTCTTAAAAATAACAAATACCAAATACTGCTCCTCCCAATAATGTGTTGCTTTTGCTTGCTTATGCTCAGTTTGCTAAGTACTAATCCCAATCAAGAAGCACCAGTTGAAAATTAAAGGCCTATATGGAGACATCCGTACTAGTTTGAAGAGCCTTAAGGTCACCCTGCAGAAGTTCTTCGGAATCAGCAAGGATGTGACCTCCACGTCGGACCAGTCATGTCTGATGCTGGAGAAAAGCCAAGCCAGAGGGGGTGTTCGATTTGTGGGCAGACACATGCATCTGTACTTATCAAATGACTGAACGGGTTTCCACCTTCAGGTCAACAGCAGGGAACAGATTGCACAGAGCTTCTACCTCCGAAAGGGCTGGACTTTTTGCCATCTCTTCCCAAGCTGTTGGGAAGTAGATGGTAGCCACAGCCATGGGTTGCCCATCTCCCAGTGGAAAAGTACGGGTGAGGAGAAAACTACTGGTGTTAGCCCTCAAAGTGATCTTTTTCCCAAAGTTTAGCTTCTCTTTGTTATAACAATACAAGCAGCAAAGTGATTTGACTGTTCCATTGTTTATGGTAGTAGACTGAATTTTCCCATGAATGCATTGTGCCTTTTTGAGATACTGAATCTGAAACTTCAGAGATTTCACATTTCAGCCAAAGCCAGAACACAGAGATGAAAAAAAGCCTCCAAAAGATAAATTATGCTCTAAAATCCCAAACATGCTTATATTCAAGAAAAGAGCTCTTTTCTTCTCTTTTCTTCTTCTTTTTTCTTTTTCTTGAGAGAGAGAGAGTGAGAAAGAGAACACACACAAGCAGGGGAGGAGCAGAGGGAGAGGATCCTAAGCAGGCTCCACACTCAGCCCAGAGCCTGACGAGGCACTTGATCTCAATACCCTGAGATCACAACCTGAGCCGAAATCAAGACTCACACGCTTAACCGATTGACCCACCCAGGTGCCCCATGAAAAGAGCTTTTAATAATATGTGTAATTTATCCCAATTGACTGCAAAACAAAAACCTTAGTAAGTTCTGATTTTTCACATTTCAAATTAGAAGCCATTCTACATTCCTAGCGGCTTGATTTATTTCAAGGTACTACAGAACAAACTCTAACTTCCATCAAATAGGATTCCTTAACAATCTTTATGATTAAGTCCATAATACAATGATATGCAACGTATGTTAAAATGGTGGCATGATTCTGCATCATCAAAGAAAATTCTAATTTTATTCCATTTAATTTTGATATTACATATGTTATATTCTAACTGAAAAACTGATAATTGATGTACCATTTGTGTATATATAATATTCAACTAATCATAACATGATCTACAACATCCCAGTTTTAAGATATCGGTCTCAAAAAGGTTTGATTTCCAAGGAAAATTTAAAAAGGGAAAAAATCAGAAGTGTTCTACCTTGATTATTTCTGTTTGTCATATTATATGCAACAGATGAATTTAGAGATGCTACACTGAATGTAGCAAAAGAAAAATTTAACCAAGCTTCTTGACAAATATTGAAAAATCAAATTCCAGTATTATAAAACTATTCAACAATTATTCATTCAGCTTAAGTAGAGAACATTTTTAAGTGAGTGTAATTCTTTCTGTACATGTTCAGAAATGCATTTCAAACAATAACAGCTTTATTAATTTCAAATGCAAAGACCATATCCTTTGTTTAGTCTGACTGACATTACTTATCAACTCTTTTTTTACTAACTACCCTCCCCCACCCCATTCTTTCTAAAATGAGTAAGGAAGCTTTTAAAAAATGTTTGGACACGATTCACTTTGGGTTATCATGCTCCGCAGAGAAAATATCACTCAAATAAAAAGATTTCTTTACTTTAGTAAAGTTAAAGGCATACTGAAATTTTCTCAACTTCAGAAAATTTCCTTTTTTCTTTAAAGATTTTATTTAGGGGCACCTGGGTGGCTCAGTCATTAAGGTCTGCTTTTGGCTCAGGTCATGATCCCAGGGTCCTGGGATAGAGCCCCGCGTTGGGTTCCCTGCTCATCGGGAAACCTGCTTCTCCCTCTCCCACTCCCCCTGCTTGTGTTCCTCTCTTGCTGTCTCTCTCTCTGTCAAATAAATATTTATTTGACAGAGAGAGAGAGAGTACAAGCAGGGGGAGCGGAAGGGAGAAGGAGAAGCAGACTCCCGCTGAGCAGAGAGCCCTACGTGGGGCTCGATCCCAGGACTCTGGGATCATGACCTGAGCCAAAGGCAGACCCTTAACCGACTGAGCCACCCAGGCGCCCCTCAACTTGAGAAAACTTCTGACAAAATTTATTACATTCGAAATAGTCTATCTTTTTTATTCTAATCTCCCACCAACACAAAAAATAAAGTAATATATTTAACTGGAAATTACATTTAAAATTGTTCTGTTTTTTGCATGTTTTGTTATCAGTCTGTATTAATTTTGAATGATTTTGATAAAAGTCGGGACAAATGAAGTTAGCATACACTTTTCAATCTATATTTAATTAAAACTTTTAATGTTTTGCCAAACAGTAAGGTTTTGTACAATACACAGTAAGTTAATATACAGCTGGACAAGTATAATTTTTCTAAGATAAAAATAAGGAACAAAATATAGGCAAGACTCAGAAAGAAAAAGTATATTGACCTTGCATTTTTACTTGCATATTTACTTACTATATCTTTCTAACATCATTTTAAAACAAGACTGGTCTGACATACTTTCTTACAGTTTGGAGTTCTTCAGATAGTTCAACCTCACAGTAGCAAAACCCTATGACAAGGCAGGTCAAAAAATTAAGGACCTAAAACTAAGTCTACCTGAGAAAACTTTTATTATCACCTTTTAAAAAGTTTTATTTTCAATGAAAACAACCAGATCAGATTATTTGCGGAGGTAGAGGGCATGTGTGGTACGTTTGGATTTTTTGTTCATTTTGTTTTGTTTTTGTTGGTTCATTCTTAGAGCACACTTTTACCCAAGTTACAGATACAAATAAAGTTCTTCTGATAACGAAATATTAGAAATTCTTCTTTGCCCAAGTTTTATGTCATGAGGAAAAACCACAAACTACTCCTAAATCAATGTCAAGTTCTATATATTCAGGTTTAGAAGCAACAGAACTATGAAGACAGCCAAGTTATGAAAGCCCATTTTCAGATCTGGAACAACTTCTGGACATAAAGAGGGTATTTGGCATACATTATACTGAAGGAAAAGTCCTACTTTCATTATTTCCTGATTCTTGGAATCCAATAAAAACTTTATGGAATAAAAACTCATTTTCAAAGAATCCTTCACTGAACACATAACCAACCACCACCATAGCCCTTCTTTTAGAGTAATGAGAGTTGATAAACTATAAGAGGGGTATGGAAATTTTTATTTTTTCTTGTGCATTTTAAAAGAATGATGAAGTGGTTTCTCGGCTTTTTAAGCACCAATGACTTTTAGCACTTGAACAATGCGCAATTGAAATACATGCACATTCACTTTTCAGACACCAACCAAAATTAAAATGGCGGTGCTTAGGTAAATATGGATGACGCCCATATAGAAGTATTTGCCACTGGGAAGGGCCTACACAGAATCACATCTTGTCCTGATCGTACCTGCCTGCCAGAACGAAATAGGCAGCTGACCAATCATGGGGTGTTTATCTGTACAGTGGTACCTTTGTTCTCCAACAATGTTAGATTGCAAGCGCCTTGGAGCTCATATTTACCTGGAGGATTCTTGGCAGGATCATTGTGGCTTGGGCTTCCTGATTGTCCAGAATCTATAAAGAAATCACAGAAAACGTTTTCTTTTTAATTTGGCTTGAACAAATTTCACAATCCTCAGAAGGACTTTAAAAAAAAAATTAAGATGCAACAATGAAGCGGAGTGTGTTTAAATAAAGTATACTTTCCCAAGCCTTTCAGCAGCAGCACTTTATTTATCAAGCTAGGTGAATGTCCATACATATTTCTATGTCAAAAGGAAAAGAAAAAAGTAGAGATCTATCATAGTCTCAGAATGGAGCAAGGCCTTTTTTAAAAACAAAGGGTCTGGCTCCAAAGCCACTGAAGGTGGTTTAGAGGTTGGGCCTGCCAGAAGCAATATGAAATAAAGCAGATACATCCCCTAAACATGCAATCTGAGTGTAATTAAACATGCTTTTAAGAACCTGAAAATGTTTTTATTCGCTGAGTGAAATACACAGAAACGAGAGTCCATTTTTCCAGGATTTCGTGTGCATACGCATATATCCACTCCCATAATCTCCCAACGTACTGAATCCAGGCCCAGATTTGTCTGCATCCCATAATAGCAATCGATTTGCAAACACCAAGAAAAGCATAAATTACTAGGTAGAAACTAACATAGCTTTGTGGAGAGCAAACTGTTGGATCAATTTAATTTCCATCTGTGATAGACAGACTGCAGATAAGGAGAAAAAGATCAATGTAGAAATATCTGAATTTCCTACCCCACGTTATTTTTCATTGATGCTTTCTATGGAAAGCAACGGAGAGGCTATACTACAGTTAGGCAACACGCCTTTCCCAGCTAATCTAACACTGTTGTGTTTTGCTCATTCCTCTTTCCTCCACGTCCCCTCTGCAGTTATCTGTGTCATTTGCCCCATATTATTATACACTTACTTGCAGGTTGCTTTGTTATCTTCTTTTATTGGTTCTAGTATTTAAGTTTTGTCTCCCCAACTAAATTGCATGCTCCCAAGCAGAGGCAGAGATCCTGTCTACTTCTTTTGTGTCTTCCTCAGTGTGCAGTGTGCTGTTCATGGCTGTGAATGCACTAGGCTTTCAGTAAATGCCGGAGGAATGGAAGGCTCCAATTCAGCAGCCTCCTTTGCCTGCCTAGGAAAGGCAATTTTGAGCTCGATAGTGAATTTCAACAAAATTTGATAGGTGGCCACAGATCAGTCTCTTCCCTGAAATCTTGCCATGGTGCCTAAGCCAAGACAGGAATCCAGTCTCATTGAAGCAGAAAAATCTAATGCTGGTTTTTTCAGCAGGGTTATTAAGCTCTTCCATGTAAGTGATTAGCATACTGCAATTGCTGCTTCTTCTGTTAAATCCAAGGGGATCCTGTTGTTCTCTTTCTATATAGAACTTGGTTATTTATTTTTGCACTTTGCCTCATGCCTGCTAACCAGATTTAATGCTGAGATCAGAATTCTACCTCTTCATCCTATTTCCTTTGTCTTTTTTTTTTTTTTCTCCAGAATAGCTTTCATGAAATCTTCGCAAATATATTCAGTGATTCCCACATTATCCTTCAACTGATTTCTGGTTTTCCAAAATGGAAGTAAAGAAACTGTTAGGGGCTACTCTTGCAGCCTGAGTTTCCAGCTAGCGTCTCCTGTAGACAGTCACAGAGTTGAATATTCTCTAAAATGCTTGTCTCTCATCTCTCATGAATTTGCTTGCTTTTTCTGGAATTAAGGCAAGAGTCTGTGACTTATAACTTAGAAGGTCAATCTTTCTCTTTCTACATTCCTATAAAAGATGGTACAACATTGGCCACTTTCCAGGCATGGAGTATGATAGTTACATAAAAATGATAAATGACATTATTTTGCTACAGCCTCAGCTATTTCTGCCTCGAGTTCCTCTGACAAATGTCCTTCGATACTGATACTACATTCCAGTTTAATTTCTCAAGTGACTCTAATATTTTGAGGAGTTCCTACTTATTATTATTATTAACATACCCACTGGACAGAGAGCTTCTTCATATTCTCTTTTTCCTTCTAAAGTTACTTCACATTTATGGAGGTCTAGACATGCATCCCTCAAGGTGGCTAATGCCACCTTCCTGATGACACAACATGAGGCAGGTTGAGGTTGTCCTCGGGGCAGGGGTTGTAGACTCTCCATGAGCCTTGCATGTTTACTTAAATCAATTTCAAAAGGGCACCACAAAACTCCTTCCCAACATCTGGCTGCTAAAACTTAGGTCAATTAAAGAATGAATGTCTCTTCTATTCCGAAGAAAGTATTCAGCTAGAACAATGGCACCCCCTGTTACCACAACATCCCACTGGGAAACCCTATTCTTTTCTGCTGCAAATTACCCCTTCCCCCATATCCAACAACTGCACACCAACTTCTTCATTTGAAAACAATATAATTACCAAAAAAAAAAAAAAACAAACCCACAAGCATTTGAGGGAAAACTTAAGTAGACCCTACATTTGAGTCACACACTTGCTTTTAATAAGAATTCCACTTTCTAAAATGATCTGGCATTTACTGGCACACAATGGTAGCTTTTCCCTCATATTCCAAAGTCTGTGCCTTTTCATGAAGTAAAATAGCATATACTAGATCCCAAAACATAGAAGGGGCCCCCTCAGGGAGGGAGCAAGTTAGCATTTACTTTTCAGACTGTAAATTCTAATACTACAATCTACTCTTAACTCTTACGGAACCTTATACTGGTCACTTAATTCCAACTGCTAGAAAAGGAAGTAACCAGCGAGTTATAGTTGGCAGAGAAATCAAAATGAACTGTTACTGTGGTTAGCTTCAGAGAAGGAATTATTCAGACCACATCAAAAACCTTTCCAATTCACCACCCAGGTCACATTACTCTAAACCCAAAGGTCTTCTTCAACCACTTCCATCATTTGCTCAAGTCCTGTGTGTGTGTCTGCATGTACTTAATATGTTATCATGAATTCGAGCTCTCTTCCTCACTAGTAGGGTGATTTTGTGCACAATTACTTAATTCTTAGAGCCTTGTGGTCTTGATTTTTACAACTGTAATACTGTCTACCCCGTAGAGTTGTTGCAAAGCTTTTATTATGTAAACCATCATACACTGGTCAGACAAAATACAATGAGTAAATGAAAGATATCAAACACAGAGGTCACATTCAAAGAATGATTAATATTTTTAATGGACTAACTCTCAGGAAGAAAGGGAGAAAGGGGATATGACTAAATTCTGCCCATCCCAGGGCAAGCATCTAAAATGATCTGTGGACGGGGCCAGGGCGCTTGGGTGGCTCAGTTGGTTGAGCATCTTCCTTTGGCTCAGGTCGTGATCCCAGGGTCCCGGGATCGAGTCTCACGTCGGACTTCCTGCTCATCGGGAAATCTGCTTCTCCCTCTTCCTCTGCAGCTCCCCCCTGCCTATGCTCCCTCTCTCTGTGTCAAATAAATAAATAAAATCTTTAAAAAAATCTTTTAAAAAATAAAATGATTTGTGGTAAATCGCCTGAACATGAAGGAGTGTGTGCCCACTGAGAATTCCTACGTAAAAGCTGTCTACCGCTTTCCCCCGAAGGGAGAAAACACTGTCATTACAAGGTTCTCAGGAGTTCTCATGCTCAAAAGGCAGTAGGTACCAGCCATTTGATGAAGATGACCTTCCAGAAGACTGAAGTCTGCAAAGAACAAGGCTGGTAAGAATGGGGCTGTGAGTTGCCCAGCACACTGGGTCTTGAGTCTAGAACAATCTGGATGCAGTGGAGAGAAAGTGAGGGGAGCGGAACCTGAAGGCGGCACACCTAAACCAGTCCTCCATCACTCCCTCCACATTTTATTTTTTCTTCCTTGATCCCAATCTACATCTTCTACATTTCTGACTTCACTGGACGTAAAGTAGAACTGAAACAGTTTGTATTACATACTTATAAAAATCTCATATTACCCCCATTCCTTATGTTTTAATGGTGTGAATTAAACATATATGTCTTCTTCTTGGAAGAAAATAGTTAATGAAGCCATTTCTAAGTTACTACTTTTTAAACTCAATGTATTCCTCCTTCCCCAGGAATAAGAAAAGGTTCCCCACATGACCCTTACCAACTTTTCCTCAATCCTTTCGTGTACTCCCTTTTAAAAAGCAGCCAGCCTTTTATGACTCTTCTAATATCTAAACTTTACCTAAAGAATGGCCAGTTTCCCTCCTGACCCAGTTTTACGAAAGATCCTGGGATATTTAAGTGACCTAAATGGCTTGTCCAAAGTTACATGGCAACTATTAAAACATATGTTCTCTACATGGGCCACCCATTCAGACACACTGCCTCTTGAGAGATTATGATGCAATCTTCAAATCACGTACAGCCAAGTGATCTTTCAGTAGATTAAATGTTTCTGGGAACTTGACCTTCCCCTAACTTCCCTCCTCCTTCCTACCATTTACCAATACATTCAAAACCTTTTTCATAAATTTTAAAAGCCCATAGCTATTCTTTCACTCTAAGTTGAAAACAATTATTATTAAAATCTATATAGTAATTGACGCTTTAAAAAGAGGACAACTCTAAATCAAATTTAGTCTGGATTCTCTCTGCATTTGAAACAAAGAGAATTCTAATGTTTTACTAATGATCTAGTGGGAGTCCAATAAAATATTTGTTAAATAGGTAAGATAATAAATAATAACTGCTTAAATGTTTGTTATTGAGTACTAACTTTCTGAGGTAGGTGAACTCAATTGTCTGAGGGAGGCAGACCATCAAAACTGAAAGTCTTTTGAAGGTCACTACTGTAATAAGCATCAATTAGATGTGAATCAGTAAGATTCATGGAACACCTCCTATATTCCAGTTGCTGATGTTTGGGACATAATAGGTTCTCAATAAATTCTTATCAAATTTCCAATTAATTTATAATAATGACCTTTAAAACACTGTTTTAAGACAAAGAATATACATTCTATGCCTTCTAGAGCTCAGAGGCTGCCCAGAGAGAAATAAATGTACAAATAAACTATAATACACTGTGATAGGTACTATTAATGAGTATGTATCAAGAT